CCCCTGGGGAGCCCGCACCTCCGGCCGAATTTCTTTCTTCGGGGGCGCTGCTTACCACTGTGCCTCCCTGCCTTTTCCCCTGGGGGCTCCCAGTGCCTTTCGGTCTGTTCTCTGCGCCCACCTCTCACCCCCGTTCGCTCGGAGGAAGTTGGGAAAAGCATCCGTGTTAGACTCTCCCAGCGGGAGCGAGTGATTTGCTTAACAAAGAGGCCGGCGGCGAGCCCTTAGCCCGCCGTGCGCGGGGGCTTGAGGGCGGGCATGGTTTCCCCAGCAAATCTGCGTCCCTTCCGCGTCTCATCTTTTCAGGCTGTGGTAGAGGCAGTTTGCTGCTCAGTTTTCTATCTCCCTGAATAAACCTAGAAGAAACATGCCGTGTGTCTAGATACTTGAAGGATTAGGTGCGTTTCAGAGGGAGGCTTTTCCAGAAGCTTCCTTCTTTGGAAATGATCTGGGCACAGAGAGCTGGTTGAGGTTAAGTCTCCTTGCAGCCCAACAGTTTTGTCCCTGCAGACTGTCGAGTTTCTTGAAAGTCTGTTTAGGGGAATATTACTACATTTCAGTGACTAAAACACCATCAAATTTAAAATACACATTATTGAATATGCTGCTAATTAAACTGTGAGAAAACATGGATTGTAGATTGTAAGGCATCCCCATTTCAGAGATTTAAAAATTGTTTTTAGAATTGCTGAAATGCAATAGCTACCACCATGCCAGGTGCCTACTTTCTTTTTTGGGTTTTCATCATTGCTTATAGAGCCTTGTGCAGGTGAGGAAACAGATAGGTAGTGGGCCCTGGGTAAGGGTGGCGGGCTCCTGTGTCTGAGAAGCTGGGATGCAGACCACTCAGACTCAGTCATCTGAATGCCTCACACACAAGCTCTCAGTGAACTTGGGTGATTTGGGGCAGGCAGAGATGTAGAGATAACCCTGCATCAGGGTTAAAATGGAACTCCAGCTCTTTGCCAGGGATAAATATTTGTAGTTAAGCTGGATGTTACCTCTCCCTGCTCTGAACCAACATGGCCCTGTGCCTGCACTTGTCTTGATTCTGAGCTCTGCACCGTTGTCACGTACACAGCGCCCTTACTAGCGAGGTGGTCCTGGGAGGGCTGGATCCACATCTGTGTCTTTGTGTCCCTTACAGCCTTCTCTCCCGCGACCATCTCTTTCCTAAATCAGCAGCAGTGGGTTGGATTGGTTTTGGGGAGAGGAGGGGGAGGACAGAAAGTGTGGAGGTGAGCTAGGGGTCACAGTGCAGGAAAACAATAACAAGGGTCTGCTCCTGTTCAGGCTGCCACAGGATCAAAGTAGAGGGTGCCCTGAGATGATGTCTAGCACACTGTAGGTGCTTAATCATTGCTACAGAAAGCAAAGTGAGAGGAGTTGGAAAGGGAAACCATTCCTGGGAAGCTGGCTCAGATGGTTCATTTTTTTTTATCTGATCCTCCTCCCAAGCTTTTTGGAGATAT